GGTTAAATCTGAGTATGTTATCCCGAGATCTGTGAATGTGTTCAGTTTCGAGAGGAGCTCACCGTACATATATGGGCACATTCTCGGTTTCCAGAGTCCAAGGTTGGCTGTGCGAGACTTGTCTGGGTTGTAAGTCAGTTGCCATTTTCGCTCTTGGATCTTGCTTTTGACGCTCATGTTATCATACTCATAATCATATACTATCCTGAGGTCATCTGCAAAGTGGTATGGCTTGCCATACTCGATCACAGAAACTATATCACTTATGAATAAGAGGAACAGAATGGAGCCAAGAACGCTACCTTGTATTACACCGCCAGTTATCGGTTTTTGGTTAAGACAGTTGTTGGTTGATTTTGACTAACTGTTCTCTTTCTGTGAGAAGAGAATTTGTCTATTTGAGAAGCTTCCCACTCATTCCGTGGGATTGCAGTTTTTATTAGGAGTCTGATATGTGGGACTTTATCAGAGGCTCTGCTAACGTCGAGAGATAATGTTGTTACTGGATGCCCATTATCTATGCATTGTGTAATGCAGTCAAAATAATCCGAGCGACCTTCTACTTAAGAAACCGTATTGGGATGGAAACAGTGGGTGATTTGAGAGCACGTACTGAATGATTTGAGCCTTTAATACCTCTTCCATCAAACGTGAAACTACAGACGTGATGTTGATAATAATATATTCTCAGTTTTTGTACATGAGGGTCACCAGTTTACAGGCATCATCAATATGATAAATTACACATACGATTAGGAAGCACATTTAGTAGTGATAATATAAGAAGGTACATATTTATTCCTACCTATGTAGGACACACCACTTGTACAGGCACGGATAAGTATTATTTAAATTACGTAGATTTGATTTATGGTGAAATTGCATGGTCCGTGTATATAGAATATAAATAGAGCATGTATAGAATAGTTCATGGAACTCATAGTTGTTAGAGGGGGTGAAAAATTATAGGATCATTGGGCAAATAAAAACATTACATTACATAACGTGAAATTCAGTAAGACAGAATTAAACGTTGGAAAAAGTCTCTGACTTAAGACTACAGGTGGGATGAGTGAGGTGATGAATGGGAGGGCCTATCACTTGTCACAAAAATGGAGAAAGGATTCGACACTCTCTACGTGTACCGAACAGCCTGATTGTTCTATTATAGTATCTCACGGGCGAACGTCAAAAATCCATCCACTGACTATGTTTCTCCCTGGTTAATTACTTTTTAAAAGTGTTAAATACTAATGTTTGGGATCGTGTGAATAGTTACTTCGCACAGTACACTGAAACTGAAATTCATGGTCCCAGTAGTTACTACTCAAACTAATTCGCCGTAAAGTTCATAGTTTACTGACTTGACATAATAACCCCACATGATATGCCCCTACTGTTCAGCAAAATTCACCTGGCACATGAAGAAATAGTGCGTCAGAATAACTTAGACCTCTTGCTTACTTCAATCATGCCAGATAACTGCGGTTCCAGTATGCTCTGAGATTTTAAATGCGTTTATATCTGCTAAGTACACATTTCTATTGAAAGTGTGAGCAGCGATTACTGCTGATGCAACGATGTATGATTTGGGAAGTGTATTTTTCAAATACTGGTGCCCCCATTAATCACGATATATTCCACCGCCATTATATTTCACCCTACCATCTAAAGCACCTGAAGACCTTGGTGAAAACATTCAAATACTTCCTATTATCGGTTTAGTTTCTATCAGCCTTCTGCGGTTACAACAAACTGAAATGTAACTGTATAACATCACTATTTTTGTCGCACCTTGTTGTTAGGGGATAACCACAATGACTAGGGTCAGCTTAAAATTTCCACAAAAGAAAATAACGTTCTGCCAATATGTGCTGGAATATTTTTACTTTTTTAAGCAGTCTATGCACGAGAAAGTCACTCAGATGGAGTGAGATGCATTCAGGATATCTCAGTTGTCAGTGATCACAAAAACACTCATCTAACACCGTATGCAGAATATCTTTTAATCGAGGGGTGCCATAGTCAGTGATGATTTTGAAGTCAAAGCTTTTCAGAAGTAGGGTTTGAAATCATAGATCTATCCGTCTCGACAGCATTCCGGTTGAAATCACTGAATAAATAATTAATGGGTGTGACGTTATCGGAAAACAGTAATTTTCTGCTCATATCACACTTCAAAAGATATTTCTGATTCAGGATATGTCTAATGACAAAAGAATTTCGAGTCACTTTTAGAGATGAAAAGTATCCTGTTGATGCATTCTTAACACATTTTAGTTGAAAATTTCATAAATAGTGTCATTTCAATTAGCGTAAGGAATCGGAGAGTTATTGAATAACTGATGGTTCATCCATTTAAACACAGAATCCCTCGTGTGTAAGGGACAGGAAATAAGAACTGATCCCGAACAGTCTCTTCAGGTAATCGTTATGAGAAGGAGGATCGCTTGACGTAGTACTCGGTCATTTACTCAAAACCTACTAAGTCCTTATGTTTTTCTGTTCCAGTCAACTAAAAATCCACAGATAGCCCAATCATGTATCAGTGTTCGTCCACTGCTAACGAGCTGCAAAAATTTTCCGCGCTGATTAAGAGAGTGGACATTATCAAGGTAGCTTAGTGCTCAAAAGTACACACCGGGTAAGCAAGCACGACGGTAAGCCAGAAAGAAGCTCTCATTTCATTTCAGAACTACACTGACCTGGATTTCATAGCAGTTCACGACCTACATATACGACACTTTCTTTCACTTGCCACTCGATATCCTATACCACCTTAGCGAAGATCAGGGACATTAATGGGATCACCAGTGATCATATACATATATATATGATTACGTCCCAACTGAAAAACCCTGTCCTGAAAATGATTACTAAAATACGGCCACAAGTATGATAGCTGCATGACCTGTTTTACGTTTGGTACCCTACACTGAATATACAGGGGAAACCTAACTATGGTATAACCGATTCCTAACAAGGACTAATAGCACAACCTATCTTTCCTGTACTTCTTTATAAGATCAGATGAAACTAAGATAAGTAGCATAGGAGCTCGAGCACCTGAATGCTGAAAATTCCTTGCTGTATCATAAATACTGTTTTTGGAATAAAGCAAATTATTATTATTAGGCTGAAATTATCCCGCATGCTCAAGGTCATTGATGGAGTGAGACGCTCAAAGGTCATTTTCGTCCATGTTAGTCGGTTATGTTGGATTGCAGTTCCGTAGCCGTTCGTTTGCACATTGGTTTTACGTTCTGTTGGCATTTATAGGTGATTCCCATGTACTGATAGCATTCTTTTGTAAAATAGTACTGTTCTTCACACGAAAATAGCCAAATTTTGACGTAGTCTTCATTGAATGACACTATGTCGAAAGCCGCAGCTTCTACAAGAAATAAACTATTTGTGTAGATGACATTACCCCCCAACTACCCCATCTTCTTCATTGTAGAGATGTTTTGATGCATTGAGCATGAAACACTAATCATTATAACCAATGTGCTAAGTGTGTCGCAGTCGGATTACATGACGCGGACACCAACATAACTAGCCAGGAAATGAGAATTCCTATCAATCCAGAAAACATATAACAAAATTTTATTAAAAATTATTGACAAAAAAAATTTGCCGAGCGAAATTTCAACCAACATGCTGGATAAGTCCAGCCTATTATTACGTTGAGTAATTAACCACCGAAATGTACCCATTGTATAGTTCACTTGCTCGAAAGGGTGGTTAAAAGCCTTGAGGGCGGTAGCAAAAGTGTAAAGCAGAGTTCAAGCGAAAAAATCTGGCGAAGAATATGATTGCAAATCACTCCAGAGATTTTTGTGATGCGTATTTCCTGTGATAAAATGTAACGAAATTATTGTTGCCATACTATTTAAACTTGCAGACCAGAAAATACACCAGATTAAAAACAATTTTATACTGGTGACCTAAAATTTCAGACGTCGACCTTGGAAAATTGTTTACATTATTCACATATATATAGTCAGATACTTGTACACTTTTGAATGTCTACACATTTGTCGGTAATCAGATTGTTTTATGCTGCAATTTGTGGATAACAAATATTGTTAACTGAATTCGCCTCTTGAAATAAATACAGTTACTTTTAGCTGTAGGATATCGTTAATTACTCATATTTCTTTGCGTTTTTGACATCAAAAAACAATGAACTTTTAGGAAGATTATAATGCTGCATAGTAGTGCAAATTGATGTGAAAATTCAATATAAATGCTACAGATAACTTGAAATCTCTCTCAAATACGAAATAGTTTGAATAAATTCGTAAATTTCGCTAAATTTACATTTGCGAATGAAAATGAATATTTGACGGTTTCTGAATTTTCCATAGCTCTGCATTGGCTTTTGAAAACAATCTTTAGTATAATATCATAACTTGCCATGAGTACGGATAAACATAGATGAATTATAGGCATTATTTCAGATGCCAATCTTATTTTTTTTAAAGATTTTGTCTCAATAATTTAGCGTCCAGCGCCCTTTTCAATAACGACCAGCGTTATTTCAGTATGTAGTGGGTAAATAAAATTCGTTTACCATAAAAAGGCATTATCGACTCATAGGTTAGAATTAGTTTAGAAATATTGTAAGCTTGGGAACTTCATCCACTTATGAATATTTCTAGGAATTGCTTGTTTTCCTCATGCGTAACATGTGACATTTACAACCTAAAGTGAGGGATTTTAACTTTTTCAAAAGTGTGCAAATGACCTGCAAGTCACTGTTAGAAAATCTTGTCTGTAATTGTTTATTCCCTTTTGATTGACTCAATAGGTTGTCAGACAAAATAATTGTCACCCGACATGTTACATAACCCTACTGATGCAAAATGAACTTTAAGCACATAAATAAGACTAAGTTCATGTTTTCACATCCACATTTTTTAAAGCTACATGTATTATTAAATGCGTTTTATTGAGTCACTGTTCTCAGTTGATTATTTTACTTTACTTTCCTCCTAGATTTTCGTGCTCGCTTTCTAAACTGCTATAGCTGTCTTATTTAAATCTCATTAAATATACCACACAAATAAGACCGAATTCTGTCAACAATTGGTTATCATTTAACTTTGTGAAATGTTGCTGCGTGAACATGCACATGGGATTGATTTACATATTAATTTGGGTGGTTCAGTTAGACCGAAAACACTTTTCGAACTGTCACAAACAAAAATGTCAAATTCACCCAACACATTGACAGAATTTGAAGAAAGACTACTTCCTAGGGCTCCATATTCTGCGGAACAGTACACGAAATCACTGTCCATGATATCACCGCTGATATCTGGTAAAAAGGTTAGATCTTGTTATTTCATGTTGTGCTTAAATTGTAAAGATATAATATTTAGATTTTTAACTATTTCTTCCATACTATTTAGTTTTAAAGTCTACTCTGAATGTTCTGAAGTAATCTACTTGTCACTTTATAAATATTTCAGCTCATCCACATGAGTATAACAGATGGTTTAAAATTATGTTTTTTATGAAATACTGCGAACATTTCAAAATTCAGTAAATTTGATTTTCACAAGGCTGACAACGACAATATGAACGCTCACAGACTTAATTAGTAGTAATGACCAGCGTTCACGCTTTGATATGCTGTTCAACCTGAAATGTGTTAATTCGCTCTACCAATTTATGGCAAGTATTTGACTGTACTTATAATCACATTTTGGGTATAAAACCTGTACTGTTTAAGGCAGTATTGTATGACTTTCTAAATAGCTTTAAGTGGTTGTTGACACTGTTAGGATCAGCTCCAGTATTCAAGTAATTGACAAAATGTAATTACAACACTTGATTATTTATTTCTCGTTAATAATTAGAATTATGACAGTAAGGAGTGTGAAAACAAAAGTCTTTTATGGATGATAAAGGGAAATATTCTTCATGCACAACAGACCAAACTAGTCTTTATGGTCTTTTGGCACATGTTCCATGGTTTGTGCAGATTTGTCTTGAATGTCTTCAGTAGAAATTCAGGCTGAATGAATCCACCCGTACCACTGGTCAACTTGGTTTCAAACGACAGAAGCACCTACTCAGGGCTCGGATCAATTTGATCTGACTACAAAAGCACCACATCTTGATTTAGGCGCTTCCTAGTTTTCTATATCGGTCAATTATATGTAGCTTCATGTTATTTTAATTACTTTCTTCGCTATCATTTACAGTACAAAGCAGATGGCATAATGCGATCTGACTATTTTTGTTTTTAAAAGAATACCTCAGTGAGTTCTTACCTAGAAATGTGTAATTCGGAAATGAAAATTTGACTCTAGATGCTGTTATTCCAAGTTAAAGGACAGTCCTACTAGGCTTAATGTGATGGCATACTTCAACGATTTCAAAGGGCTTCACCATCGGCATCTAGCATGTTACATTAAAGTGCCAAACAATAAAAAAGTTATTTCAAAAATAAAGTTCAACAAAAGAGACAATAAATGGATGCTGTGTAGATTGAGTACTAAAAGCAATCACTAAAATTTACCGTCTAAAGGAAACAAATTGTTTTGACAGGTAGGGTAACTACTATAATGAAGTGCAAAGTGGAATATGTGACCGAACAGATTTTGTCAGATTCCCTCACTTTTCTCGTAAGAGTTTCATATAAAATCCATTTATTAGAAGCAAAGATAGGGTTCTTTAGAACTATGAGAATATCCGAAAGCAAATGAACTATGGCGCCAATTAAAAAGATGTGTATCTTACGAGACAAGTGGTTTTCCCGGGACATATACCGGGTAAAGGTGTACCTATGAGACAGTAGGTTTTATTTGTAGTATTAATCTTTAAATAGTACTACTGGAAAGCTTTAGACTGCAAATCTGTCTTGCATCAAGTCAATTTAATCAGTTTTATTTAAAAACCCGGCTTATAAGTGTTGTTACCATGCTCAAATATTATGAAATTCATACCTTTAAACAGGGGATGAAAATCATGTTTCAAAACTATGTGAAAGGACTTTTGTTATACACAAAATGAGCTTAAAACGGTGGATCTCACACAGTGAAAAGAACAATTACGTACACGATGATACAATGATATCAGAAACTTCAGTTTACTAGTGGCGAACGAGACAGTCTGAGCCAATATCCCCACCCAAACCATACATTCGAATAAAGTTAATAAATGAAATAAATACTTTATGTTGTGAATAAATATGATCCCTTACTGAAGCTAGCGTAATCCAAAAGAATTGGGAATAACTCACTTTTTATGAACTGCTAGACAAGTGACATGATAGATTTTAAGCTGACCTCATGAAATTATCTTAGATGGATACCAGTCAGTAATAGCTGCTAAGATAAATTTCTCTTAAAAGTAACAACCAGTCTTTTATAGGGCTTAGAACTTCAACAGAAGTATAAACTATGCCAAACGTTAAAGTTATATGTGTAATTATGGTTAGCAGTCAGAACAGCTGTACATTCTATCCCAGATGCCAGTTTTCTATGTCCAATGAAATAATTTTTAGAATATATAAGTTATACGTTTGAATTAATAAAACTGAATGGTGATGTAGCTTCATTAAATTAAACAACCATGTAATACTAGTTTAGAAGGATGTTCAAAAACTCTTCTAAGAGGTGAATCTCATTTATTAGTTTACATATCCAGTAGAACTGAGGAAAAATCCATAAACATACCAAAATCATCTAGTCAATCTTACTTATCTCCCAAATATCAGAAACACTCTAAATAACTTCAGGATATTGAATGTCTAGCAATGGTTTACCTAAGAATAGAATCGATTTGGTTTCTCAAAGCATTATGATGATTATCTCGAAAGTTAAACTACTAAAATATGTGTTCGGTACGTATGATTAAAGTTTTGAGATAACAGAAGACAATCCAAGTTACATTTTTTGTTGTGTAAACGCTATGCTAATTGTATGATAAATGTCAACGATAACTGTACCTTCAAGATATCTATTGTATTTTCCTTTACATGATCAAGTGTTACTTTTACCTAGTTATTGTATATCTTCTCATGTTATTACATATTTTAAATAACTTTCCAGCTCACTGAATCATTATTATATTAAAAGTCTGTCTCAGAGTTTTATGAATAAACGAAGTGTTTAGACATAATTTAACAACTGCAGTCCATCGCTTACCTATGGTCCACTGAGGGAGGTGTACCACTATGATGTGGGTGTCGGTGACATAGTCAGCAGGACGCTAGCCGGCCAAGCACATGGTCCCGGGTCCGATCCGCAGCCGATGCACACCTCATAGTAATGGTTAGCCTGCTAAATTTGGGCTACCGATATCACATGCTGAAAATCCCATACTTGTACCAAAATACTGTGTGGAATCAAGCTGTAATCAGAAAAAATTTCACAGTTCACTTTTACTACCTCAGGAATTAATTAACAAATGTTACTTTGGCTAGTGGTGACTAGCAGTGTACACTTCATCCTATTTGCGACCCGTCCTCTTGATATACCTGCATTCTCAGTGAGTTCCCACTTAGACTCGAACCCTACACCCATCCTTTCATATGTCTAAACTTGTGGATAGGACGAAATAAGCATCCTGGATTCCAGTGCTAGTCACTACCAACCGAAGTAGCATAATGTTAATGTGCGTCGGTAGCACAGTGGTTAGGACTCTCGCCGACCATGCACATGGTCCGGGTTTCGATCCCCTGCCGACGCACACCTGATATCTATGGTCGGCCTGCAAAATTTGGGCTACCGACATCACATGCTGAAAATTCCACACCTGTACCAGTAAAAATACCGTGTGGAATCAAGCTGTAATCAAAAATCAAAATCAAATCAGATATCGTCGAAGCGTCAGTACTACGAACTGACATATCAGCAGAGGCTGAGTATTTCTGTCCAACATAATCAATCTACGGGAAGTGACCTAGATGAAACAAATATTGATTAACACACTTTATTTTTGTGAATTCTGCTTTATCTATTTCTCTCCTTCATATATTTTTTAATTGCTTACAATTAGGAGGTATTAGCGCGTATCTGTCATGAATTCGTAGAAGATTGTGTTCAGCTTGGTGGTTTGTGTTATGTAGAGACAAGATTTTGTCCATTCGCTTTAAACAATGCTTATTTCAATGCAGAAGAGGCTATCCAAGTAATTTTGGATACATTTAACAGAGCTGGTGCAAAGAATAAAATTGAAGTTCGTTCAATTTTAACAATTATGGCAGATAAACCAGAAACAGCTGATAGAACTTTAGCTTTAGCTAAACGGTATCAAACACATGGAGTTGTCGGTATAAACTGTGCATGTAAGTTATGTTTGTTTTTGTTCTTTAACAAGAACTAATCATCATGTGAAACTGTTAAGAAAAAATGCCTTTATAATCACTTGGCACTGAATGGCACTTTTGTTTTACTCAGAGAGTGATCAATAAGTGTTTATCTATGAAAAAACAACCATGAAAATTCAAGTCTCTGTTATTAAAATAAAATGGTGTTTTAATTAATACTTTATAATTCACACGTGTGAACCGAAGTTAAAATAACTTAAATTTTGAGTTTTCAAACGTGTAAGAATATACATATCATGGTTATTTTTATGACACGTAAAGCAAAGCAAAAGTAGACATCATTTGTGAGAATCCTTAGTTTCAGTTGAATCTTATAAAAAAAAAAGGAATGAAACTACTTGTGAATTTTTCTTTAGCCTGAAATAAATCACATTGTGACTAATTAGGCAGTTTACTTCACAGTAAGAATGATAATCAGATAATAGAGTTGGCTTGTTTAGCCTCACTTATATTCATATAAAGTTCTCCTTAAGAAGTAATTAAACAAGTTGTTTATGTTTGTGCTATCTTTGAGTACAAACTAATTCCCTCTGTGTGATAATATTAACTCATGTATCTATAATTATAATGACTGTTTAATTTTTTGATAAATCTACTTTTCATCAATAAATTAAAAATCCTCATAGTGTAAAATTAGAACTAGATGACTGTAAGCAAACAATTGCGGTTTCGATAAATTCTTCTTCAGGCTCTATAGTTATAAATCTGTGAATATTATAATACAAAGAGACATTAAAGGCATGTGAAAATTATATCAGAAACTGTCTGTATTGGGGTACATGTATAATATGGAGTGATAGTTCGGTATTTAATATTGTCAAATGAACGTATTAAAAAATGTGCAGTCATTCAGAACATAAGATAAAGTGTGAATATTAGAAAGAAGAGAACACGAAGTTCAGCAAAGATATCTTTTCGGCGATTTCATTTTCAAAAGCTGTACAATCGCATTTAAATACATAATTTTACATGGATACAATTCTTGTTTGATTCCACATAATTACGATGGCGAATAAAAGGTGACATTTATTTTCAACTAGATATGGTTTACGAGAGGCTTAGAAACAAAATTACACAGGATTAGAACGGATAACAAGTGTGTAAAAATGAGCATGGAAACAAAATTGAAATAATAATTTTCAACTTGAGATGGGAGTTAGGAGGTGTGAATATAGATTACAAGAGCCTTAGAATCACAAAAATTATACAGGGTTACAACGAAGGAGGAGAATATCCAGCTCTTTAAAGAAGACCTTCCCTGCAGCAAATCTAAGAGTGACATTCTCTAGCCGCCCACTTCTTCGGAGCAATGGGAAGGACAAACTCTCGCATATGACCAATTCAATGTGCATATACCAGTTCACCTCCTCGTGCGGAGCTAGGTGCATAGGTCGTTGTATGCGCGTCCTTTCAAAACGTGTTAGAGAACATTAACCAGCGTGGCTGCAAAGAGGAGGCACCGGTTCAATCAGAAGTGCTATTATTGAACATCTGATCAACACCTCCCACAACATCTCAACTGATTCTTTCAAAGTAATTTACAAAGTCAACAGAAACCTACCAAAAGCAGTATGTTTCCAACTTTTCTGTACTGCAGAAGCCCTCACAATATGCATCGAGAAGCCGGAGCTGTGTGTTCAAAAGAAATTAGTCCAACCTCTACAACTACCATGGACCTAGTTCGGTATATTCCCTTAGCTTCCGTTTTTTTCTTCTTTCGTTCTCTTTGTTTTTTTCTTTTCGATCTTTTTTCGTTCGCTGTGTGTTTGATTCTTACTCCCTCTGCCTTCATTCGATTCACCCAATTTTTTCAGTTATAAAAACAGTTATTTTAAGTTTTTTTCCATGCTTTTCCTGCTCACATTTATGATTCGTTTTAAATAACTATTTTACAATTATATCTTAATCCTGCGCAATTTTTGTGATTCTAAGGCTCTTGTAATCTATATTCGCACCTCCTAACTCCTATCTCAAGTTGAAAATTATTATTTCAATTTTGTTTCTATGCTCATTTTTACACACTTGTTATCCATTCTAATCCTGTGTAATTTTGTTTCTAAGCCTCTCGTAAACCATATCTAGTTGAAAATAAATGTCACCTTTTATTCGCCATCGTAATTATGTGGAATCAAACAAGAATTGTATCCATGTAAAATTATGTATTTAAATGCGATTGTACAGCTTTTGAAAATGAAATCGCCGAAAAGATATCTTTGCTGAATTTCGTGTTCTCTTCTTTCTAATGTCCTTATGGGTGTTTTCACTAATCTGAAAAAGTGTGAATTGGCAAAACGGTGACATACTAATGTATTTATAGTCAACAGGATATAAGTTATACATGTCCAAACCAAGTTCACTTTTAACGGTTTGAAAAAATTTGAGCATTGGGTATATGATATTCATTATAATAAAGGTTTTTGTATTTCCCAATGAATGAAAAACAAAACGATATTGTTTTGTTTTTCATTCATTGGGAAATACAAAAACCTTTATTATAATCAACAGGATATAAGTTTCATTGGGGGGTTGGGGTGAGTTGTATTCAGGGGTGTGCGAGGGAAATGATTACCACAAAGTGCGTACAAATAAATACCGAAAAATGGGGAACACTGAATGTAAGTTTAAGGGCTGGCGGATATCAAGTGTAGTGATAAATTAAAGAGCTTGAATTGTGAACTGTGATAAAATACCAGAGACATAATAACCTTAGTGTAAATTACAAAATATTGACACATAATAAAGGTAATATTGGGGTAAAATAAACTTAATGGGAAGGAACAAGAAAGGCTGGATGATTATGTCCCTACTGACCTTATGGTAGGCTAGGGTAAACAAAGGGAATGAATGTGCTTCTTTCGCACACATAGGTCAGGTTTTTACCCTATTAATCTCTACAGCTACGAGATGTAATTGTGTGTCTTTAGGCAGATTGTTTGTTACTCGATATACAATCGTAAATGACTCATCTATTTTGATGTGATATTCACTATCCACTAGATGAAACGAAATGGCACTACTTATTGATTTGGTTACACTTTTTCCAAGCTAAATAGGAATATGTTCATGAGTGCGTAAAGATAAATTCTTCTGAATTCGACCTATATAACTAGCTCTACATGAACAGTTGAATTTGTACACACACGCACTGATGTGGCCATCTCTGGTAATTTATCTTTAGTGTACTGTGGCAGTGATGGTCTGGTTGAGAACTGTAGAGCCTGAGGAAGAATTTATCGAAAACAATTGTTCGCTCAAAATCATCTTTTTCCAAATATACATTTATATAGACCATACTGCGGAAGTGGCAACGGTACCGTAGTCAGTAACAGTGTCGTGTTACTCAGATTAATGGCTACACCATGCATCTGGTACCTCGTATACAACAGTAACATTGATCATTGTTAGGTGGCAAGACTTCATATATATATATATCACAGTAGCTCAGTCACCACGTGAATGTTATAGTGGCTAAGCGAATGATTTTAACAAAAGTTAGCTTCTCTCTGGAAATATGAGTTTCCTCAAGGTTGAAAAATTTCCAATAGGTGCGAAACCCAAGTGAAGCAGCGCTTTCCGTTGACTGACTGTTCATAATTAAGTAAAGTGAAATAAAAGATTATTTGCATTAAAACTATATGCTACTGATTGATTGTTACAAGTAGTTGTATGCCACTGACACCAACCAGCAGTGCTTGCTAACCAGATCAAAGTGATCTATACACCAGATGGCCGTTTCACTCGTTTGGGGCCGAGCTGGCTACCTGTGTGCCAAGTTTCACTCGGGTCAGAGAGCTGTATCATTTCAAAGCACATGATTTCTGACTAGCTGTTTAGGCGAGATGGTAACACTATAAATCAGATTGGAAATTTGTAAATTAATTTGCAAATTCCGAATATGATAAATTAAAAGCCATTTGAAACAATCTGTGGACTTTATTAAGAGCCGTATAAGACATGATTTTAGTTCTCATGAGACTATAGTTAGAAATAAGAATGTAAGATGATTAATTATTTTAAGTTTGGAGGGGGTAAGAAATATATAAAGGTATAATTTATATACTATAATTCTGTACTGCATCATTATTATTCGCAATTGCTTTTCCTGTTCATTATTTGAACTAAATGTGATTTGTCATCCTTTGGGGTTGTTTCCTGCTCTCTGTGAGCCGTAGAGTTTAGTTTGAAAAATATTAAATGTCGTTCTAAAGAATATTGTCAAAGCCATCTTGAAAAAGAAGGGTGACGTTAAATTCTCTCCATAGTAGGTATATTCTTCTGTCTAGATAACCTTCATTGAAATTGTATTTTGATTATATAGTTTTCTCTTCATCTTATATTATTATATTTATAAGAAAAAACAACTGACAAATCAACTGTATTTAAAAGTGCCTATATATCTTTTAAATAGAAATGTATTTGCCATAAACTAGTTTATTGATGCAAATAAGAAACTCAATTTTTATAACTGTTCATTTTGATTCCGAAATTATAGTAAAAGAATGCATATATGCTTAAAGTTAATTAAACAACTGACTAGCTTGATATTTCACACAAGAAATACTAAATCAATATGGCGCTATGTAAGAAATCTTTTCAAAGGAAAGTCCAGATAAAGTATAGTTTTGAGTGATAGTAATTAATACTCCTTCTTGAATATTTTTGAATAACCTTCCACTACAACTGAAATGTTTGTTGGCAATCGACTGGTAGAATCCTATTCAACACCACGGGTTCTCGACGTTCAACTCTCAGTTGATGCACTATTAAACCTTACTTACCTGGCAGTAAGCCTGGAAAAGATAGAAGACTGGTAGCTCAACGCCATACAACAACACTATCGCTACTGAAAATTTGAATGCTTGAAACTCTATGCTCTACTCAGAACCTAAGGGATAAAAATACCAATTAGGTTTCTTAAAAAGAAGTCTTATTAATGAGTCGAAGCAGAGAAGATATAATAGGAATGAGAAAGTAAGTATGCCTTCGAGTACTAGTGTTATTGTGACACTTCATATCAATCTGAGTAAAACAAATACATTACCAGGTAACACTCAGTGTTTTCAGTATTCATTTTATTTGTTTTATAATATCTTTTTCTGCAGAAAAACACATGTGTTTCACCCTGCGAAATGGCTTTATTCAGCTATTTCATTCATAAAGCTATACAATTACAAATGCATATAGCTATATTTTGTGAATATGGTACATGTGTTTGATGTTTCATGTAAATCGTTTAAAAGGATGTTACTGTAACCGAAAAGTGTCAGAACTTATAAAAATAAAGAGAGTGCTTATGTTTCTTTAGATTATAACGAATTACGTCTCTTAGTGTCCGTTTATATTGTGGGAGATTTCTAAAATTTACGTACATAAATACTGATCTCCTTCGTTTTTAAATACCTGACATAAATTCTTTTAGTTTGACACAACCAGTAAGCTCCAAGAGACGAATTAAGGCGATTAGGTATTCATTACCACATGCAGTACAGTATAATTAAGTGGAACATGTTTTAAGCACAATTTATTGCTAGAATAAATAGATGACATTGGTTACTTTCTCCTGACCACCCAATGAATGCATTGCAGTACTACTGGAGTTCAATTGCGAACCCAAACAACTCTGCAGCAGCGTTTCTAACTCCAGTACTGAGTGACACGGGATTGAATCTGTGGGTAGACATTAGTCCTTTCCAGGTTGCAGATGCATTCTACTGATGAGTGCTGACAAGCGCGAAACGTAACTCCAGGCCATCCTGCCGATTGGCTCCAACCACTTTATATAATATAAAGATGACCTGTAAAAATAAAATGCTATCAAATGTTACTGCTTTATATGCCAAACTGGAAAGTTTGAATTATTTGAAACACATAAACTATAATTGCTCACTTCAATATGTTAAATGCCCACAACTCAAAAAGCATATCACTCGAGAAACTCACCCATCATACTTTGCAATGGAGCAAATAATTCAGAGTTTAGATACTGACACGTGAAACCTTCAGCTTAAACAAGATGTTATTAGTTTAGGGTAAATTTGATAACATTAATTCAAAGTTTTAAACCTAGAATTGGATGTTCTAGACAATTTTACCAGTCAGTAATTGGAATCAACATTGATTAGTACAGAAAATAGTCTCCCAGTGTTGGCTAAGCCATAGATAACTGGTACTTCACGACAAAAATTTTAAAAGAGGTTCAACGACTTAATGGTACAAAAGCCTTTACACTTTATTAAATATTTAATAAAACCATTCGAGAATTTTGTTTTCTATTTCCCATTTCTTCGTATAGGTGGTGATGAAATTTTGGGAAAAGGACCTATCCCAAAGCAGATTGTTAAAACATTTCAAGATGCTAAAAACTGTAAAATTCATCGTACCGTTGATGTTGGTTGTAAGAGTTCAGCACAAAGAGTGTATGAAGCAGTGACTGCTTTACACGCTGAACGTATTGCTCATGGATATCAAATTCTTGAGAATGAAAATTTGTACCAATATATAACTGAAGAAAAAGTACATTTTGAAGTAAGTTAGTCTTCCTATTATAAATTACATTCAATCGATAGAAAATCCAATAGGAAGAGTCTGTGAGCCCTCTTGCACAACTCACGAAATGTGAATAAGCACTACTCAATTTCAGGATCAGTGATCTTTCAAAATTACTGATTTGTTTTTGTTTAAATCAAGCCTACGGTTCAGCAATCGCTCGAGATTTCGCACACATTGTTATGAGATTTACCCAATATCTGACGATTGTTCATTTCTTCCACTTATCTGAATATTATCAGGGCAGATTAAGATTGGAATCTATGACTTGTCAACTGAAGGGAGAAATATTCGATCAACTGTTACAGTTGTTTCCCGAATGTAACGTAAAGTTTCAGCAGCATGTTTCATCGTACTCCGTTTTCTGCTGTTATTGTAAGTGGCACCACTGCTACCAACAAGGTTTCCTTTTTTCTTCACATGGTCTCCTCCATATCATCCTTAGATGACCAACACGTTACCTCCCATTCGGTTTCCACTGGGCTGCATGGTGTGTGCTGTCGTTCAACAATCTCCTTTGCTTGTGTCCAATCCGCCTCAAGATTAGGCCAATAGATCCATGTATTTTTAGACATTTTTTAGACATTTAGTACTTTGTACTTATGCAGGTAAACTGTTTCTCTTGTCTCACTAGTAACTTTACAAAGCTCATTTTCACTGAAATTGAATGACTGATTGCATTTAAACATTTCGTTTGAAACGATCAAATATGACCAGAGAATTATGAGAAATGGGATAAGGAAATGTTTTTAGAAATAAAATGCACATCTGGTTGCCACAACTGATATCAAATTAATGATGTAGTTATTTGTATTCATTCAGATGAGACTTGAGAACGTCATATACTGTGCGTCGGTGGCACGTGGTCAGGGGTTCGATCCCCTGCCGGCGCACACCCGATATCTATGGTCGGCCTGCAAAATTGGGCTACCGATATCACATGCTGAAAATTCCATACTTGTACCAAAAGTACGGTGTGGAATCAAGCTATAATAAATAAATAAAAATAAATAAATAAAAAATAAAATAAACTCATGGCTAATTTTCTCTTATTTCCCAACTTAGTCGTTGGAGATCAGAGATTATTAGACACCACTAAATTGCAAATCTGTTTCCTGAAGTCGTTTCAGGTATTTCACCTTCCATTTTTAGTACGGTATGATACAGAATTGGGTTTTGGCTTATGAATTACATGTCTGAATGGTGACAGAGACCAGTTTAGTTTGAGTCTATAGTGGTTTCGATAAGAATGCCTGAGATATACTGTATAAGGTCCTGTGTACAGATACATCTATATGGTCTATATCACCATCAAATATTGTCTCATGAACCACTGGAGAGGCATGTTTGTCTTGGTTAGACAGACACCGGTTGAGTAAAAGCTTCATTAAACTATCTACAAGGAGACTGTTATTCAAAGTGTTACATATGAAAAATTAAAAAGACGGCTGCAAGAAAGAAAGTTTTCTTTTAGATTCAGTCGTCAACTACTCTGTACGTTCTTGTATATATAGAAAGTCGGTGAGAAAGTTCCAGAACTATTTCCAGTCGAGGGTCAAATTAACAAGATAAAAAATGAGGATTAAAATGTAATAAATAAGCAAATAGACAGAAAATTTAGATAAGAAACGTTATAGGATAATGATTGTTTATGATGGCCATGGTAAGATAAAGTATTGGACGTATTTCTTCTGAATACATAGCGTAGGTTTGAACTTTTGGATAGCTAGTGCCTCAGCTATACCCAGATGCCTTGATCTAATTCCTTTTGAGAGGTTTGATCGGATTTTCCACAGGAATTTGAAAGACTTTTCAACTGGAGCTGGATGGTCTGAGTTCACCAGATGATCTGCTACCGAACTTGTGCTCTCCCTTTGCTAACCGGGTTGGATAGTGTTCCCGAGCTCGTTTTACAAGCGAATATGAGTAAAGTTATTTTTAGGATTGATTCATATTGTTGTGAAGTTATTTCAGTTTGACACTCTGAAATTTAATCTGGAGTATCATCAGTTGCTTTTAGCGTAAATTAATCTATTTCTACTATTATTTGTTAAGTCATAAAACGGATGAGTTGTGTTCACGTTACTGTTAGTTTTCTTCGTGATATAATTTTGTCTACCGAACAGTGATGAGTTATTACGTAAATTACATAATGATATCCTAAATGAGTCATTGATAAAGATAATGAATAAAAGGTTGAGTTCTCATGGGCTTCATATTCCTACATCGATTCTCAATAGTGAAAGTGACAATGAACTTGAAAGCGTTGTTTATACTACTGATTAAACTGAAATAAGTAGCTTCACTATTTTTATTTTATTCCTTTGCGTTTCGAGTGGAAAATAGGACTGCAGGTTTGAGCTTCGCATTTTCAGTAGCACTGATATTTATCTTTCACGGAATGGGGTTGCTAGCTTTGAGCCCAATCTTTCTTCTTTACCAATCTTACTACAGGCTAAACGGGGTTTAGAGGTGCGTCATCTGGGAATCGAACCCCGAACCACGTGCGTGGTTGGTGGATCAATGAAGCGAGATGATATAGGTAGCTTACATTTCACATACTCACTTCAGTGGCTCTTTATTTATAAAAGCGAAATGTCTTATCAAAGGTCATCAATCAGAATCCTACGGTGAGAAAACTTTAGTTAGTTAGTTTTAAAATACCCAGAATACCGCGTAATTAGAGCATGACACGCATATTTCCTGTCGCTCAAAATGGTATCTTTAAAAGAAGAAATGGATGACTGGCAGACAAACGGACTGCATCAAGAAGTAGTTCAGTGTTTAGTAATGACTAAGATTTCGAAGAACAATAATTTGAGGAGTAAAGTTTATGGTTTAGAATTTATTACTTCATTTCTTCATCTAGGTGTGCATTGGTAGGAGGTATTACCAAGCAGTTAGAAAAACTGGCGAGTTTGTAATTAGAGACCGAGTACATTTTAACCATAGTAGATAATTTTATTTTAAATATCACACAGAGATTCAGTATTAACAAATGGATTACGTTTCGAGTATAAATTAATGTATTAATATATTAAATATTCCCATAGTAAAATTTAGAACAACACATTTAAGCGAACAATATTGTTTTCAATTAGATCTCATCAGGCTTAACTCTAATATGTATAAGTTTACAAATAAATGTTAGATTGTAAGGGAAGGAAATGAAACACGTTTATAATGAAGATAAGATTAAGGGATGATAAGAAACGGGTTGAAAATATAAACAAAGGGTGGTGTAGAAGTCATTAGTTGGTTATGTCTTAATATGCCAAGGGAGGGAAAACGGCTGTACGAACTTCTTTAGAATGCATAGTTTAGGTTTAATAGTTCGAATGTCTATCGCCTCAGCTGTGTGCAGTAAACGAATACGAAGTCTATTGGAAAGACTCGGTGGGATATGATAAATTACTTTGAAGGCTGTCGTTTTCTCGATTAAATGACCACTATCAATTAAGTGTGAGAAAATTGAGCTATGGATTGTTTTTGTCTGTCCTTTGCCAAACCTCGATGGGAGATGTTCACTAACAGGTTGGCTAAGCTGTCTAGTAGTACGCCCAGTATAACTGTCACCGCAGGTGCAGTTGAATTGATAAATGCACATAGATGTGGCAAAACTATCAAGCTTATCCTTCGTTTGCGTCCCAATCATTCGTCGGCTAGAGAATGACAAGCTTAGGTGTGCTGTATAAAATGTTCTTCGTATACTCCTTGAAAGTCTTTGGAATAGAATCTCACTTGATAAGTCGCCATTAAATTGTAACTTAATAAATTAATGCTCATAATCATATCAGTTTTGCTAATACTGCATCGCTGTGTGATATTTAAAATAAACTTATCTATTATGGGATTACATTTTACCACAGTGCCCAAGTTCTACACTGACATTTTAACTATTATAAAATTTCTCTGAGGTCTGTCGCAGGTATTCTTTAGCGGGATCGTAATGAACAGATTCATAACATTGTCGACATTTACATTAAATAACAATGGGATATTTATTGTTCATTGACCATTTTTATTTTGTCAGATGTGTCCATCAACAAGTGTTATGACTGGTGCAATAGACATGAAGAATCCAAAAAATCATCCTATACATCAATTTCTCAAAGACAAAATAAGATTTTCTATCAATGCAGACTGTCCAACATTATCACGGAAATGGAGTGCAGATGAAGCTGAATACTGTATGAATGAATTAGCCGTGAAACCGATTAGTCTAGCTAAAGCAAATCTCAATGCCGCGAAAGCAGCTTTTTGTACTCAAGAAGAACGTCATGATCTAATAACACATGCAAGAATAAGGACAAGAAATAGAATAGTCACAATTAAATAGTGAAATTACTTTCGTCGAAGTGAATAATTAGAGTAATATATGTGTGTATCTGTTCTGCTCAGTGTGTTGAAAGAAACAATTCTGTAATATATCATTTCTCGATGGTCAATTTTTTTATTGTTCATCTGCTTATCTTTCTTTACAAAAGTGTTTCTGAAAAAAATATGTAATGGTTAGAAAAAAGCACAACTTTATTTGACTTTTCTTCTCAGAAAAAACCTGAAATTATCATGCATATTCTAATACATTTTGTTTTGTTGAAATTATATTCTAATTGGCTGTGATAAATACTACCTTTATCTATTACTTATGGATGACACTGGCACTTCTTTCAATTACTGTGATGCCTATATATGTTTATACACGTATGAATAGTTATTTTGACTTTTATTTGATTCGATAAATCTCAAGCTTTTTATAATGACTGAAGTTTCATTCTTTTGTGATAAGGAGGAAATGGCTGATATTTGATGTTCACTATGTCTGTAAATCAAAATTATGCTGAATTATCGTGTGTTACCCCAAAAAACTTCAATACAGTATATAAGAGACGGTGGTTACTTCTCTACGAATATATTTCCGACCAGCGTAGGTCTATAACAAATGAGTAGCTTGAATTTGATCTCAGATCATGTTTTTAACCTACTGAAAAATTTCCATCTTAATTTTTGTGAAGGCACTAAAGTATGCATGGAACTACTTGTGTGAAGAGTCAGTGATAATAATAATAACATCTTTATTCTGGACAGTATTGATAAAATGTACAGAATTTTCAGAGGAGTCTGTTGCATAATATTTTCCCTTAGTACAATATCTTCAAGTAAAATATTAATTGACAGTAGTATATCCTATGACACAATGGTCTCTGAGCTGAAGCACAAACCATTCCGTTATCATATATCTGATTTGTCTCCTTCAAGAAATCCATGATATCTAGTTGAAATCCAGTTGTAAGATTGATATAAGAATAAAACTTGGGCACTGTGGTAGAGTGTAATTCCATAATGGGTAAATTTTTATTTTGATAGAGTCTCACAGTGTTATACAGTAATATTTACTGATGACGTTTCGAGCACAATTTATTGCTCAATAAATTGTGCTCGAAACGTCATCAGTAAATATTACTGTATAACACTGTGAGACTCTATCAAAATAAAAATTTACCCAGTTGTAAGATGTTCAGAAGGTTATTTTGAAACGCAAGGACATAACTGAAGAACAGTTATCTCATGTATTGGAACACGTTACCACCCATAATCAAGCCGTTCCTTAAATTTGGTAGAAACTTGCGAATCAGAAGCTTTAAAGGCGACATGTATCTTTGGATATGTATTACACCTCCTCACTGGCAAGTTTTCGACCTCGCTATCAGCCTGTTCTCTAAACAGTAATCAAAAACAAAGTCTGGAGCGAATTTGCGCCGCAAACGATGTACAGCATCCATTCCGAGTCATCTGATTGGCTGCTCAAAGTCATTCTTCCGTTCACAAGGTAGTTTCGGTTTGGGCTGCTAAAGTTTAGAGTAACCGCTTTAAAACATTTTAAATACACACAAGAGTAGATAATACCATTTGGGGTCATATTTTAACCGATTAAAACCAACCAAAATAGAGAAAATATATGTCCAATAGAGAGATAGAAGTTTTTTGGTAGCGCAAGTTTTAAGCAGACCGCCTGTCAACGATGCAATCAAAAAGTGACTAAAATGAAATGTTTTAACATTCTAAACAGTTTGTCAAGACAATTTTTAGCAATACAAAGAACTGATTGATAATATTTATTTCTTGTTTGATGAGGAAAACTTAATTTTTACTCAGAGTCCGAAATTATCGCTACTCCAATGACAATATCTATTAATTCACGAATTAGTGACAATCAGAAGTTATTTTTACTCTTATATGTAACATAAGCCGGCTGCATTTAATGAAATGTGAAACGCTAAAACGCATATAAGCTCTTTCAACTTTTCTATATTGTTTCACTTATCTAAGAGTACCATTAACCCAGTGTTCATTTGTATAGCATAATCAGAATGCCGTATAAAGTAAAACATAACAGAAAATGCAATACAATATGTTGTAGGACTAGCTGAGAGAAAACAAAATAAATGATTTACACTTTTTGAAAACCCAGTACGTCTAACACAGATGAATGTAGTGTTCAGGATGAAACATCTTTGCAACGACACTAAGTGAAGTGACATAGGCACATGCCTAGATTGTCATTATAATACAATTAATATTATGTAGGTAGTGTGACACCAAATAACGTATTGACAAAACAATCTGAGGAATAAAATCTAATAGTTGATTTTATTCGGACTGCTCTACTTGATGTTAATATGTTGGACATATGATGAACTAAACTGTACAGATTAGGAAGTGAAACGTTCACATTTGCATTTCCTATATATTATGATAATGTATAAGGTGTATTTTATGAAACACTTTATTGTCTTTCCATGTAAATATCATATAAGAGGTGTGGAAATGAACACGTGGAACTAAATCGCACTTGGTTAGTCTATATTACCGTCTGTGTAAGTGACACACCATAACTAAAACACAATAACAATAAGCAGGAAAACTTCAAAAATAACCCGTGACTTCTCTCCTTATTCGTTTTCAGATTCATTTGTATTTCCTGTTGATTGATTATTTTGGAATGGAATGCTCATTCTCTGTCAGTATATTGGCTCCTGGTAAAGAGGACTCGACGATGTTTGTTGACTAGCGTAGATAATGTTCTGGTGTTTGAGACGATGTCAGCTGGGTTCGAGTCCTCGTAGGAACATACCGTTCATTGGGAATAGCAGGCACGTCCAACCAACGAGTCCCAAATAGCACGAAATGCGCATCTTAGATTCCACACTGCTAGTCACCATCAACCAAGATGATAAACCTTATTAATTTCATTCCTTTCGACAAAGCAAACTACACAAATGTATTTTATCACGCACTGAAGATTAATTAGTCACTCTGCACTCAAAAAAGTCTATAATTTATTTGCATTATCTAACAATAGGTGTAGATGACAAATCACCAGAGATTACCAGCTGCCATCAAAATGTCGGTGTTTGTGTGTGCATAATTAGTTATAATATGCTTTTGTCAATTTCTGACATAGCGACACCGAAATCTGTGAAACAAACAGTGGATTTTGTCATTGCTAATCTTTGAAAAATACATATATATTTATATATACATATGCAGACTCACGTTATTATTAAGTAAAGTGTAGTAAATCACAGTGTGTAGAATAAATAATAAGTATGAAAAATTATCTGATGTTCTTTTGATTACTCATACATTATTGAATATAACCGCTTACCAATCGTGAAATAAAATAAGTTAACTACTATTGTGAATGATGATATTTACCGCATTTTCTTCCTAAAAACATCTTCTGAGCTATCTACGTTCAAGAAATAACTTATTCAATAAACCATGATCACATTCATGAGTGCTGTGCACCCGTTTGTTATCTTTGCCATGTCGCTCCTAGTTCGCCTGTTTCTAGTATACGGAAACTAATAGTTGCTTTTTGAGAAAGGCATTCATCAAAATCTATTGAGTAAGTAGGTAACGATAGAAGTCAAGGGCCAGGCAACAGATGGTTTATTGAGAAAACCGACAGATATTTATAGATTTTTATTTACAGAGGGGGTAGTGTCTTCTGATTGGTTGTTTTCTTGCCGAAGGTTATTCTTTCATCTCTTTGTTGCCGTTTCTTAGACTGTCTGATGATATGCCTGCGAATCGTATCCGCCCACGCTCAGTCTGCTGTGATTGGCTGTTGAGTTCCTCAACGTTAGTCTTTGTTCTCGTTTTTTCTCATGACCAAGATTCGGGACGTAAACATCGACGTAAATTGCTATCTGCCAATTTTGGCTACCAGACAGCTCTCACCACAAGTATACATGCCAAACAACAAAACATTGTTGTGTATTGTAGTATACTTCTCTTCTCGGCTTAGGATGTTACAACTCAACCAGTCAGAAAATCTCGATGGTAAATTTCTTTACACTTATCAACAGGAAGCATCCGCAACCTAAAGAAGACTATTGTTCCCTTCGATATCCGTACTTGACAATCACTTGGTGTCGAAGTCGATAACTTCAGACTAAAACCCCATGTATTTATTTGTCTTCTATTGATAATAAATATAATCATTGGCTTTCAATGATGTGTAGCTATGTGATGGGTTTTGCTGTTACTTTTTATGAGCAGTAATTGGAAAGTAATACTTTCTGCATGATAATATTTACTGGAATCAGACTACTATGTACTACTACACTATGAAAGTGTTATTGATGATTTATAATCTTGTCGCTAAAATATTCCTGGATGACTGACTGAATGCATATTTTATCAGTAAGAATAACTCCAATTTCCTGAAACCGAGCATTTTAATTCACTTAACTTCTCGCTTGTTTATTTGAATTTTACTCATCACTTCAAAAATCGGCACCAATATTGTTTAGTGTCCTCCTATACACAAAGAATTGCAAGAAAAGAAGGAAGAGTATGCTGATCCGTTTGCATCTCCTTAAAAAATAAAATGACTGTAACTTTTTATGTTCTATGTATCAACGAAGGTGGTTCCGGTACTTAGCTAATAACTCCAGAGTGAGATGGTAAGACTCCTGGCTATCTTACTTACCTCACTGACACCAACCCAAATGTAGAATCCAAGTTTTTAACGGAAACTGTATACGTTGAGAAAGACGCAAATGTTGCATATACTCATACACTGTGGCAACAGACAGTTGCTTTACCTAAAGGGTTTTCTTAGCTAGATTTATTCATGCAAGGTAACAATGAATGTCTAGTTGTCAGTCTCTATCTTTGGTGAAGATGCAAGCTGAACATGGCATGGTTTGGTGTCATATACTTCAATATGCATATTTCTGCGTCTGTGTTCTTAACTTCGACGGCACAATAGCCCTATTTGTGTGGAATTTGTACAATATCGAGTTTCGTTTACTTAACTCAGCAAAA